AGATGCATCGGGTACCTGGGTGGCTCAGTTGGTTGAGCGTCCCGACTTTGGCTCAGGTCATGATCTCACGGTTCAGGAGTTCAAGCCCCACATCGGACTCTGTGCTGACAGCATAGAGCCTGCTTCAGATCCTCTGTTCCCCCTCTCTTCTCTCTGTGCCTCCCCCACTTGCTCTTGCTGTCTCTCTCTCAAAAACAAACAAAAAAAATGTTGGATGCTTAACTGAGACACCCACATGTCCCAGTATTTTTCATTAGCCATAAAAGTATTAATAAGCATTAACACATGATACCTCTGCAAGAAATCATCCCTTAAAAAAAAAAATAGGAAAGTTATATAGAAGATACTCATTGCATCATTATTTCTTATAGCCAAAAACTGGGAAGCTGTTTAAGCATTTCTCAACAGTCAGCAGGAGAGTACATGTGTAAATGTTGATACTTACACTTATTTCAGCCAGTAAACTGCTACATAGCCACTAAAAGCATCCTTAAAAAATATCAGGGGCGCCTGTGTGACTCAGTCAGTTTAAGTGTCCAACTCTTGATCTCGGCTCAGGTCATGGTCTCACGGTTTGTGAGATTGAGTCCCACATTGGGCTCCATGCAGACAATGTAGAGCCTGCTTGGGATTCTTTCTTTCTGTCTCTGCCTCTCTCTCTCTTTCTCTCTCAAAATAAATAAACTAAAAAAAAAAAAAAAAAATGGTGGTAACTGCCACTTCAGTAGCACTTAGGGCCTCACAAACCTTCTGGCCCATAACCTTCTGGTGCGTGGGGTGAGGATATTACCTCAGGAGCTGTCTGCTCTAAGGTTAGATTCTTGTAAAGATTAAATGTATAGACATACAAGGACTAGAAAGGAGCTCAAAAAGTTGAACTTGCTTAAATGATCTTTGCCTTTTACCTTTTTCCCATTTCGAGTTAAATTTTCCCCTTTTAAATTAAAAGTCATGACAGGATAATATTGTATATATAGCCTTTGACCTGACTCTCACTTTTGGTCCATATAATTGAGAATATTTATTAAAGTTTTCATTGACACTTAGTATTTTTTGAGTGTGAACATCTGACAAAAGCCAAGCAGTCTCTTCTCAGGAAAATGCCATACACAAATGGACACATGATACAATTTCAGGCAGTTCAGACACCATCCCACCACTGGGGACCCAAGGTTTGTACACTTGGAACATGGCATCTCCATCAATCATAGTGCCTCAGGGCATTCCTCCAGCAACCCATCTGTACTCACACTTTCCAGAAAGTGAGCATTTAGAGGCTCCATTTGCATTCTGGAACTAAAGCATGCAAATATGAGCTTAAATGTAAAATCACACCTTTGCCGCTGGTGAACCGTAGGAACCGCAGAGCTGACAGGCAGCTAGTGGCTGACTGTTCACCGCTGTGGCTGGATGCCCAGGTGTTAGCTCTTTTGGTCTCTGGCCTGGCCTGGAATGAAGCAGAGGCTTCAAGAGAGAACCTGGAGCCAGGCCCTCACCGGGCACAGCTCGTCTGCCCTGATTGGGGCTCACAGACTTCACCATGTCTCCCTGACTTGAGGCCCTCTTACCTGTGTTGACAGGAGCAGAACCCGCCCGGCGTCCCTGTGCCAGCCCAGGCTGCCAGCGTGGGGAGCCAGCCACCAGCTGCGTCCGGGGCCAGCACTCACAGCAGCACCCCCTATCTCAGTAGCCAGCAGCAGGCAGCAGTAATGAAGCAGCACCAGTTGCTCTTGGACCAACAGAAACAGAGGGAGCAGCAACAGAAGCACCTGCAGCAACAGCAGTTCTTACAAAGGCAGCAGCAACTTCTGGCGGAACAGGTAAAGTGGGAGGTGGAAGGTGACCCCCCAGCACCCCCACTCTCCCCTGCCTCCCCAGTCACTGCCGCGGCTGCTAGCTCCATCGTGTGTGTGTGTGTGTGTGTGTGTGTGTGTGTGTGTGTGTGTGTGCGTGCGCGCTCAGCTTCAGCATATTTCTGTGTGCACACAGGCGTGCTCCGCTCCGATGTGTGCATGCGCGCTCATTTGCATGTCGTTTGCCATCTTAAAGCCCTTTCCAGGAGTGTGGCATTTCTCAGACAATGGTGGCCTGTTTCAGAAGTAGCTTTAATGTCACTTGGTGATCAGTGAAGGCAAATCTCTAGCTAAAACTTTATTTGTTAGGGACATTTTTCCACGTCCCTTGTCTACAACTGCCACAGCACCGAGCTCACTGGTCTGCCAGTTCACTGTGGGTCCCAGCTTTGTTGTAAATACAGAGTTTGTCAGAAGCCAGAATACAACAGAGGGAAATGAAAATGTCCCTGAGGTCCTAGAGTTCTAGAATCAGGCCCGACAATCTCTTTCCAAGTCCTGCAGTTCACCCGCTTGGTCACCAAGGTTACGAGAGTTCTCAGGATTTTAAATTACATCTTCAAAGTCCTAACAGAAAAACCATCTACCCAGAAGATGAAGGTGATTGAGGATGACTTTGAAGCCCACATCACTGCCTCAGTTCTGCCACATGTATATAATATTTGTATTTATTACAGATATTTATTTATTTTTAAAGTTTATTTATTTTTGAGCAAGCAGAGGAGTAGCAGAGAGAGAATCCCAAGCTGACTCTGTACTGTCAGTGCAGAGCCCAATGCGAAGATCTTGACCTGAGCCAAAGTCTGACGCTCAACCGACTGAGCCACCTAGGTGTTCCATTCTGCCATTTTTTTTTTTTTAACTTTTTTTAACGTTTATTTATTTTTGGGACAGAAAGAGACAGAGCATGAATGGGGGAGGGGCAGAGAGAGAGGGAGACACAGAATCGGAAACAGGCTCCAGGCTCTGAGCCATCCGCCCAGAGCCTGACGCGGGGCTCGAGCTCACGGACCGCGAGATCGTGACCTGGCTGAAGTCGGACGCTTAACCGACTGCGCCACCCAGGCGCCCCCCATTCTGCCATTTTTTAAGATAACAGCTTTATTGGGATATGGTTCGCGTGACATATAATCCACCCACTTAAAGTGTACAGTTCAGTAGTTTTTAGTATATCCACACAGGTATGCAACCATCACCACAGTCGACTTTGTCAGTTTTCACCCCCTAAAAAGAAACTGCCTGCCCAATAAAAGTCATCACCCATGTTGTGGCCTGTGGCAGCGTTCGCCTCTGCTTTATGTCTGGATCATATTCTGTCATTTGGAAAAGCTCCATTTGATTTATCCATTCATCGGTTGATAGACATTTGGTTTGTTTTCCGTGTTTATGGGCATAAGTTTTCAGTTCTCTTTAGTGTGTACGTACGGGTGGAATTGCCAGGGCATATGGTGGCTGTTATGTGTAACCTTGTGAGGACTTGCCAGACGGTTCTCCAGAGCAGCCATACCGTTTCACGTTCCCACAGTGGCATGTGAGGGTGCCAGTTTCTCTGCATCTTTGCCGTACTTGTCTTTTTGATCCTGGCCATCCTTGTGGGTGTGAAGAGGTAGATCATCGTGGCTTTGATTTGCATTTCCCCGATCTGCCCTCCCCACATTTTTTTAAACTGATACGCCACTTTTTTTTTTTTAATCATTGCTCCTTAGATCTGCCCCGTCCTTCTGTTTCCTACAATTTATTAAAAATCCCCCAAATGAAACCATGAGCGTTACCTTCACAGGAACCCATCTGTGAGAAACAAACCATAGCAGTTTACTTTTCTCTGATGTAACTGTTGTTTCTGTTCCATGTGGGTCTTATTGTACTGTTCTGTTGTTCTTGGCATTTTCTAGGAGAAACAGCAGTTTCAGCGCCACCTCACGCGCCCACCTCCCCAGTACCAAGACCCAACCCAGAGCACCTTCCCACAGCAGGTTGGACAGTTCACAGGTGAGGGGATGTCTGAAGCGGCAGAGTCCGGCAGGGGAGGCAGGCACAGGACAGAGCAGGTGGTCCGTTCCACTCGTGCTGGCTTCTTGCTGTCTGCCATGCTATATGCTGGGGGCTAGATAGACTTGCTTATGTAAACCTTGGTCTGCCTATGGAGCCTGGCTTTCTAGTTCCCTTGCAGGCTAGGAGGAGAGGGTCACAGAGGCAGACCACCTTGGTCAGTACTCTGGCTGCACAGTCTTTTGAAGCATAATCATTTCTAGCTGGAGGCTAGCTTATCAACAGGAAATGGGTTCCGTAATTCTTAAGAAGGTTCTTTGCTCCTGCCGTTATGTGCCTTCAAAAAAATGATGCTCTTATTTTCCAGATAAGGAGAGACTAAGTGTAGTTTGTGTGGCCTTTTGCTTCTGCTCTCTCTTCCTGTCCGCTCACTTCGGTGTCCCAGACAGCAGCATCAGCTGCCGACAGTTGACCACAGAGGGGCAGGAAACACTCTGAGGTCTTGGCTAATGCAGCTCAGATGTGCAAGGGAACCTGACTGCCCTTGCTCAGGCCTCACTCCAGAAACTCATAGATATGCCAGTTGACAGAAGCGGTAAAACCTGGTTGCACCTGCCTTTCTAGCTCTTCTTGGCCTATCTTCAAAACCTGTCCCTTTTTTGGTCAATGACTCTCACTCTAAAGTGTCCCAGGGAAAGCTGAGCACAGCTGTGCGCTCCTTAATTTTTCTTTTAATGTTTGTTTACTTTTGAGTGAGAGAGAGAAATAGAACATGAGTAGGGGAGGGGCAGAAAGAGAGAGAAACACAGAATCAAGCAGGCTTCCGGCTCTGAACTGTCAGCACAGAGCCTGACGCAGGGTTCAACCTCATGAACTGCGAGATCATGACCTGAGCCGAAGTCAGTCGGTTAACCGACTGAGCCACCTAGGCGCCCCATGGCTGTGTCCTGACTAGGAGCCTAGGTGTTTTATGTGTGTGCTGACCAGACCGTGGAGCTGAAGTCTGCGGGCTTCTCAGGAGCCTGGGCCTCATCCAGCCTTCCTGCCTTCATCGCATCTCACATGGTTCTGGGCTGTCACCGGGAGCAAAGCAGACTGTTTCCACCCTCCTCTGTCCCTCAGCCTAGTTCTTAAGTGCTGGTGGAGAGAGGGAGAGGAGGAACAAAGAGCTCAGTCATGGCCAGCCCCTGAATAGTACACCCCCGACCCACAGAAACCCATTTGGTGAGTGTTGTCACTGCATCCGTTGCTTAAGACAGAGCCCCAGACAGCAGGTTCCCTGAGGACAGGACCTCTCTGTCCTGTTCCCAGCCGTCTCCCCCATGCAGTGCCCGCCACTGATCAGTCAGCATCTGCTGCTTTCAGTCCCTCCCTCAGCCCCCTTGTTGTTCGGTGGTGTCAAGAACAGGATCTCACACTCTCCCTCTTTCACTCCCATGGTGCCATAGCTGGTACACCCCTCCCCTTATTGATTTGAGCAGCCCCCACCCAGCCCCCAAACCACTGTTGCGGTCCACTTACCCTGGGACTTTGCAACTGTGTCCTCCACATGGCAGCCACAGCTCTTCTGAGTCTGGCCACGGCTATCTCTCCAGCCTTATCTCTAGCCAGTGGGATGCCCTCCCTGCACTCTGGCCATGGAGCTCCCCACATAGACCGCCTCTCGTAAATTTATGCCGTTGCACACACTCTCTTCTCTGTCTAGGATACTCTTTCTCCAAACGGTGAAATTGCTAAACTTCAACCCTTTTATTTATTTATTTATTTTTAATTTTTTTTAATGTCTTTATTTCTGAGAGAGAGAGAGCATGCACGAGCGGAGGAGAAAGAGAGAGAGAGACAGAATCTGAAGCAGGTTCCAGGCTCTGAGCTGTCAGCACAGAGCCCAGCACGGGGCACAGACTCACGAAACATGAGATCATGACCTGAGCCAGAGTCGGACCCTTAACCGACTGAGCGCCCCAGGTACCCCAAGAGGAAGTTTCTTCAG